CAGCAGGAAACTCAATTTTAGACAAAAGACGTTAGTAGGAACAAATACCAGTCTGGCACATACCTGGCTATGATCTTATTTGATAGTTTCTTCTTCACAAAATATCAGGAAGTATTCGATTGTATTTAAAACACACAGACTCACCCTTGAGTGCTCCTCTCCCACGCCTTATCTTTTGAAATTAATTACGTCAATTGATCTAGAAACTAAAAACAAGTAATGTATTAAGTATGGATAGTGGTATAATTCTTTTGTACGGTACTAAAGCTAACAGAACTTCCGTCAGGTCAGATTGCAATAGCCACAACAAGCTAGCCATACCAGACCACCTTTTTCTGTGAGCTAACACTGCTTCCTTCATAAATGTTTTCTTCCCTCCCCCCAACAGGGATTATCTAAGCAACCACACAATCTGGAACAAGTGTAAATCACCTGAAAATATAGTTCCTTGGAACTTGACGCTCTTTTCCTTGCTGCTACTCATGAGTGGGATCCAAGCAGTGCTCTGTGGCATTCAGGTTGTGAACGGGCTCCTTGGAACAGTCTGTGGGGACTGCAAATGTTGTGGATGCTGTGGGGTGAGCAATCACGTTTTTCTTTTGTCATTCTGTGTACTGATACACCTGATTAGCTGACAGTCTGAAACAGGAAACTAGACTTCCTTTCAGGACTATGGGCATGTTTTCTAGATTAAGTACTGTTAAAACCTTACAGTGTTACCAGCTGCTGAAAATACGATCTCAGTCCTTCCATATATTTATGGGGTTTACCTGACAGCTTCCCACAGCCTCTGGAAAATAACAAAATAATGAAATCCTCAGGAACAGTAACCACTAAATTGCCTCTGTGCTTTTATTCTTCCAGGGAGATGGAGCTGTCTAAAGAATACGCATACTGCAGAAAACTCCTCTTATCTCAGGAGACTCCCTTTTGAAACAGTTCTCTAAAGCACCCCTTCACGCATTGTCTCTGGCTAAGAAGATCAGGATGAAGGGCACTCCCTCCGCCAAAGTTATGAAGCTCTGACTTCCCTTCTAGCCTTCCTACAACCCCTCATTACGGAATAAAATAAGTGCTATTCAAATCCCATATTCATATTTATTTTTGTAAAACAGCTTCCACTTAGAAAAGACAGTATTCTCAGGCAAAATTCATTAACTTTGACTGGGGACCACTGAAAGCTGCTGACACAAGCTCAGTTGTAGTGCAGTTGTATCTATTTTCTTTTGAGGTTTATCCAATGGAAATACCACATGCAAGTGTAAATTTTTATGAGTACACGTTTATGTATACAGAAAAGTGAGGACTTCTTTCTTCCAGACCTGCTACGATTAAAATGCTCTTTATAAAGAAACTGTTAAAAAAGGTGTTCATGATTCTCATGGTGAGGTCTCTTTTCTTGACTGTGTCCGACACTCGCGTATACTCAACAGCACTGCTGTGCAGGGAACTATGCAATCTAAGGAACAGGCAGAAGAGCAGGGTGCTGTGGAGCCCTGGCCTGCAGCATTACAAATCAGCCTGGACACTATGATACCCTGCCTCATATCAGGAATTCAGTCAGAAAGGCCAAAACCCAGCCACTTCTTGGCATAGCGGGGCTCCAGCTTATTTCAGCATTTTGCTTCACTGACCCTTAATCTATCTCCCTCCAGTCGCTCTCACAGGAGGAAACGCGAAGAACACAATAGGGCTCTAAGAGATGAAACTGAAAGCAGAAAGCGTAAGGAAAGCTTGTAGAGACACTTCCCCAGAGAACCTTCCCAGCCTACAACTCTTTGTGGTCCAGGGACTTCCTGAGCCAAAGGTTCTGTCTTTGTATTTAACTGTTCTTGATGGACTACTTCTCCATGAAGCTGTCCAGTTGTTTCTTAGCTCGCAATATCCCTTCCATAGTCTAACCTCATGCTGTTGGAAGAGCCTCCTTTTTTCTGACTCTGCCATCTGCTGCTTTCATTTGATGCCTCCTCTCTCCTGCAGACTAAGAATTAGTACACAGCCACTCCTACCCCCTCCACCCCAGGATACCTAATGTTATAGGTTCTCTCATAACTCCTCTCGGTTGTCTCTTTTTTTTTAGCCTCAAGAGGATTAATGTGTGTATCCATTCCTCACACAGAACCTTTCTTCTCTTTCTGTCTAAAGTCTTTTCAGCTTTCCTCACTATATCCTGAGATGGGCAGGACAGAGCTGCACAGTGTTGCAGATACAGGCACGCTGCCCCAGCCATTCATTCTAATAGCAAAAGGCAAAGTTTATTAGCTACAAAGACAAAGATGAACCACAATCTGACTGGTCACAGCTGTCAATCCCACAGGTCTTGTCTTCTTAGAGAGCAAGCAGATTTCTCATACAGACCATCATCTTCAAACACTGGCTCTAAACAAAAGGTCAATGAAGCCTCCTATCTAGGAAATCCAGTCAACTTCCACATCTCCGATATGACAGGAATTTTGGTACTTGTGGAATGGAGAGGGACATACCCTATTTAAATCCACCAGATTTAAATGTCACCAGAAAGCACAATTAATACTTCAACATATCTGTCTATTTATATACGCGGGACAACCGTAATTCTTGTCCTGAATCGCTCAGGTTCTGAAACTGCCCAGTCCACAAAATGTAACGATGCTTAGATTATGTAGGGGAAATATTCACAGTAAGAAGTAGCATGAGTCCAACCAAGTCTGTTTCGACTTGTGACTTAAAAGGGCGTTTGACCGCTTGAGATCTGCTCATGGCACTGAGCTACTGACTCTGCTCCCTTGTCCAACAAAGGCGACAAGGTAACTCAGAACCACCAACAACCAGGGCTGGGAGGATCTCTGGAGCCTACCTCTGTATGCCAAGGCAGTGCCAAGAGCACTTAAATGATTTCTGAAAGACCTCTGTCTAACCTGCTCTTTAAGATCTCCAAGTACAAAAATCCAATATCATCCTTAAGCAATTTATGACAGTTAATGACTGTTACAGTTAGAAAGACTTTCTTAACATGGAATCATGTTCTTCCCTGGTGCAACGCTGTTCTCTCCCCAGTGGGCTTACCGAAAAGCGTATGCACCCATACCATCCTTGTAACTTGGAGATGGTTATCGTGTCTCAATCCTCACTTCTTCTGACAAAAGAAAGAAACAATTTTCACTCTTTTGTCATAACCGATGTTCTTGATACTACTCACTATTCTTATTGTGCTTCTCCAAACCTCCCCCACAACTTTCTGAAAGTTCAAAGCTGAATTACTGATTTGAACACAGGTTACAATTCCCATTCAGTTGAGATGAGCAACTCAACTCCCTTTCTTAAAGCTTCCAATCAGCACGAGTGAAAACGCCATTTATTCATCTTCTCGCAAAGATTTTATTTAGCTGCATTTAGCACAGCGCTATGAAAGAGACAGGCAAAAATATTTTTAGAAAATAATATTCTTTTTGAATTTAAAAAGAAAATTCTATTTCCCAGAGAAATCAAGGAAGAAATAAGAGGACTGGGAGGGAAGTCTGAGGTATTCACATCACCTGATGTGCTTAAGAAATTCCAAACCCAAATCTCCACGCACCAGCCTGCCAGATTAGTTCTCTCAAGACCTCCGCCTCATCAAGGCATTTGCCAGATCTTTTCCCTAACGTTCTCTTCCTGACGTAATGATTCTGTGCCCTGTGCTTTCAGAAAACGTATTTCACGTACTCCATATCCACACCAGAGATATATAAAGAACTCCAAAGATTTAGAAGCACTGAAAGCTGGTGAGCAACACACAAAAAGGTTAAACAGCTAGACTGAATTACTAAGAATTACATTAATAAAAAGCAGAAAGGCCTTAGTGATACATAGGGCAAGAGAATTTAAAAAGTATACAAAAGCTCTCTAGAAACAGCTGCCTCTCCCACCTGTTCTGCTGCACTGCTGGGGAATTTGAGCGTACCCTTTATACCACCACCCACCAATGTAACCATCTAACATCTATCCTTTCATCTGTGGTTAGCAGCTGTCCTGCACCTCATCTTGCATTTGTCTTGTTTTATTTATACAAGTCTTTGGGAACACGGAATGTTTCTCGTTAGCATTCAACAAGGGGATGGGTAGCTACATAGTGCACAAGTTTGATATGTTAATAAATAGAATACAAACATTTCTGTGGGGGAGCTGGGCTAAGAAGTAACTGGAAGCTGCGAGACCTAAAAGCAAAAATAATGGGTGTTCCACGAGTCAGTGCTCCTACGACGCCCACCTGCACGGTAGTTTTCTAATGTGAGCTAATATCCAGTAGATACTGAGAGGTATCTCAGCAGATACGGAGGTATACGCATTTCACCTTGTGATTTGAGCTGCATTTGCACCTTGGCCTCGGGGGTATTGCACAACCAGAAACAAGCAGCTCAGCATATCTGAGGTTTTAAAGAGCCAAGAGTGTTCCTAAGTCTTATCTCATTAGGATTACCACTGGAGAGTCCCCTCCTGGAATTTCATTATCTCCAGCGTCAGTTCTGCAGTAACTGGAGATTGCTTTCTGTGCTTTTACTGAGCTAGGCGCCCAGTGAGACCAGGGACAGGGAGTGAACAAAGACTGTCATAACAGAAAAAGATATACTGAACCAGTGGTATTCCTGGGAAGAGAAGTAGTAAGTAAACAGAGTACAACGCTAGTGAGGGACAGAAAGACGATAGCAAGAGATAAACCAAGAATGGGGAACTGAAAACGCTAAAACAGAGCTCAGTAGTCCTGACTAACTTGCACACCACGCTCAGCAGTAGCTGAAAAGGTTAGTTTTATGGTATACAAATGTCAACTTCTGTACAAATGCAGAAATCCTGCTAGCTTAAATAAACAAATATCAGTACTGGTTGTAGAAACCTCAAGTATGAGCAAGTCATCTAGACTCTTAAATTAAAACCGGCTGCTCGGTGACTAGTTGACGAGGGTGCTAAGGACAGGGTAATTTTAACAGCGTTGGCATCGTTTCACCTGAAAGTTTACACAAAGGGAAAACACACAGCTCATTCAACAACTCAGATTACAACATGTGGAGCATATGTGTACGTGATTTTGAGCCTACTCATTTCAACATCAGTCTGACAAAACCAGTGCCCTTGCAGGGCCAAACTTTGCAGCTGGAGCTCTGTATTTTATTGAGTTTATCCAATAAACAGAGTGCAACAAGATGATCCAATGATTTGGATGAAGGGCTAGAGGGCACCTTCAGCAAGTTTGCTGATGACACAAAACTGGGAGGAGTGGCTGACACACCCAGGGGCTGTGCTGCCAGTCAGAGGGACCTCAACAGGCTGGGGAGTTGGGCAGAGAGGAACCGCATGGAGTTCAACAAAGGCAAGTGCAGGGTCCTGCACCTGGGGAGCAATAACCCCACGCACCAGGGCGGGCTGGGGGCTGACCTGCTGGAAAGCAGCTCTGCAGAGAAGGACCTGGCAGTCCTGGTGGACAACAAGTTGAGCATGAGGCAGCAATGTGCCCTTGTGGCCAAGAAGGCCAGTGGTACCCTGGGCTGCATTAGGCAGGGCACTGCCAGCAGGTCGAGGGAGGCGATCCTGCCCCTCTCCTCAGCCCTGCTGAGGCCATACCGGGAGTGCTGGGTCCAGCGCTGGGCTCCCCAGGACATGAGAGACATGGAGCTCCTGGAGTGAGTCCAGCAAAGGGCTACTAAGATGATGAAGGCACTGGGGCATCTCTCCTATGAGGAGAGGCTGAGCGAGCTGGGACTATTCAGCCTGGAGAAGAGAAGACCGAGAGGGGATCTGATTGACGTGTACAAGTATCTGAAGGGGGTTGGGGGGGGTGTCAAGAGGATGGGGCCAGACTCTTCTCTGTGGTGCCCAGCGACAGGAGGAGAGGCAACAGGCACAAAGTGAAACACAGGAAGATCTATCTGAACATGAGGGAAAACTTCTTTACCTGAGCACTGGCACAGATTGCCCAGAGAGGTAGCGGAGTCTCCTTCGCTGGAGATATTCAAAAGCCGTCTGGACACAATCCTGGGCAATGTGCTCTAGGTGACCCTGGCTTGAGCAGGGGGGTTGGACTAGATGTTCTCCAGAGGTCCCTGCCCACCTCAACCATCCTGTGATTCTGTGAT